GATTTGGGGTCGCCACAACAATGGGAAATGTATTATGGGGTCGCGGGGCTAGGAAAGTTTAGAACCACTGCTCTATAGCTTTGCAATGGACGACTGAAAACTTTAATGTCAATTTATGTCAATTTATCATCACTAGACAGCATCAAGTTCCACGATTCCATTATAATATTACTATCGACGTTGTTTATTGAGGAAAGGATTTGACTTTACGGTAAATTTATATGTTTCGCAATAACTGCCAGTGAGCAATAGTTATTATGAATAATAAATAAAGTTTATCTTTATACACTGCTAAATGTCTAGACTGATTTATTAAAAATTCAAGGAGCCATTACATGCCAAGTGGTTCTTTTTTTTTTTTTTTTTTTTTAGTTGTTTTATTTTAATCTGAATCAGCTAAAAGGAATTTTAACACAGGAAGAAATAGATCAACCTCTAAGTTTCATCACTTACTTTGTGGCTAATTCAACTCAGATAAGGCTTTTTTTTTTTTTAAAGTGACACCACGACTTAGACATGATATAAATTTATAGCCAGTGAAGATTTTAATAATAGTAAGAAGAAGGTGACGGGATTTTTTTTTAAAGTACGTCACCTTTGTCCCCAAGTGGAGAGAATTGGAATCGTCAGAGATTCAAAGTGAGAAGATGCTTATAACGGTATTTTATGAGCTGTTCCGTTGAGTGGGGGGGGGGGGATTCAAATACATTACATGGAGTCATTTAAATTACAATTTCACTAAAATACCGTTTTATATTTTATGATTTTGTCTAATCTTCATTTTTTGGGTGGAAATGAAGTGCTGGTAGTTGTTTAGCTAGCCGCGTTAATGATAAGAGTCGGCTCCATGCCAACAATATGAAGGATTATTTTTTTTTTTTTTTAATTCAAACAAACTTGAGGCAAATAAGATTAATTGTCAACACAACAAACAAGAAAACATCAAACCATGTGTGGAACAACATTTGTGTTTATTGTATCAACCTTAAAACAACGTTCATCGGGTCATCAGGTCAATACAAGCAAGTGAACTTCGTCAGCTTGTGTTTTATTGCGTTATCCAAGGAAGATTTATTGAGACGGTATTCTATGTTAATCTCTTATGAGACTATATTTAACTTGGCCGTGTGTCCATTTCATTCGAGCGTTGATGTATCACAGCCGTGTCGAGCATTGTGGAAGGGGAGGGGGGGGGGGGGGGG